TATAAAGTCTTCAACATAGGCTGTTGAACACTTTCAGCAATGTTTCATAGTTTCTCTTTTTATAATCCCGCTATCATTGCTCATATGGCCAGCTTTGGATTCTGTTACTGCTTGTTCTGGGAATGTAGTAATTATTCATTCCTTATAGTAATCAGTCTTGGCATCTAGAAGTAGTGATAGAAGAAGTGCAGGCATTGAGGGACTGAGCAGTGAAATGCTGAAAGGAAAAGGAAATTTCAGATAAAAACCAAGAGATAGGGAAAGGAATTCTACTTATGATTTTGATTGAAATGACTTAAGTAGTTAATGAATAAATAAATTCATGACAACTTCAGCTACTTGAAGTTAGCTTTTTATTGAACCAGCAGGCATCTCTTAAAATATCATTCTTGAGAATTAAATTCAGTGATAATATTCCATGATAAATAACTCTTGAGAATTAAATTCAATGATAATATTCAATGATAACTCATTCTTAAAAATTAAATTCAATGATAATATTGCTATTATTCAGATAATTTATTGAATCTCTTGTTTTGGATTTGCACTCAAGGAATGCTCTCATGGTGGCAGTCTGATGATCATTACTACTTTATTAAAAGAACTGAATGTAATTATAATATAAAAATGTTACTTTTTAAATGGAATTTGGAAATTATAGTGATACTGTATTGAGATATTAACTTGTGCTTAATTCTAGGGATATTTTTTCCTTCCCAGTTCCTAGAGGGTAGATGGGCTCTTTTTGTTCTTTTGTCTTAGAGAGGCTTTTTGTTTTTTCACTGAACAGGGTTTCCTGTACATGAATTCTCTTTCTAACTTTGGCATATTTGTAATTTTGGGAGCATGGGCTACGTAATAAAGAGTACTAGTAATGGAATGTAATGGGTTTCCCTTGTGGCTCAGCTGGTAAAGAATCTGCCTGCAATGCAGGAGGCCTGGGTTCAATCCCTGGAAGATCCCCTGGAGAAGGGAAAGGCTGCCCACTCCAGTATTCTGGCCTGGAGAATTCCATGGACTCTGTAGTCCATGGGGTTACAAAGAGTTGGACACGATTGAGTGAATTTCACTTTCACTAGTAATGGAAAGGCACGTGGAGGAACTAGAGAGACTCAAAGCAAGAAGTGAAACCAGGCTGCAGAATGGATGAAAATATTCAGATTTTCCTGGGGGTTGGGACCTATGATTTATTCCTTTAAAAGTGACCCAGATGGTTGGCCAAGTCCTTCTTGATAACAGAAGGCATAGTTTTATATGGATACTGGGTCTTGGGTATTGACAGTTCCAGCCTTGGTCAAGATNCTTTAAAAGTGATCCAGATGGTTGGCCAAGTCCTTCTTGATAACAGAAGGCATAGTTTTATATGGATACTGGGTCTTGGGTATTGACAGTTCCAGCCTTGGTCAAGATTCCTATGCCCAGTGAAAGCACAGAGGTTTAACCATGAATGAGGACTTGGGACAGAGACAATCTTAGGGTCACCAGTGTGTCCCCAAAACCTGAGAAAGCCTACAAATATTGGTACTAAGTCACATTTCTAAGTTCTGCATATTATTGTGGTGGGTAGAAGGGAATGGTATAGGAAGAAACCTCTTCTGAGGTATTCTGAGTTAGATTTAATTAAATTTAAGAAAATAAAGTAAGTGACATTTCTGGCATAGCCTGAGTACTTTGTAGAATAAGATTCACCCTGGAATACTGGTTGTGATGTAAGTTCCAAAGTAGGACCTCTGCAGTTATATTAAACTATTGTGAAATAAAACAGTTTCTTCAGGGGGTGACTTTGAAGTGCAGCCTTCATATGGATATAACTTTTCACCTCTGTCTCATAATTCTGAAATAGCCTGGTGTTCATGTGAGCCAGGATTACATGTAGTTTATAGTGTGGTGTGATTTGAGAGATGTTGGTAGTAATGGTCATGATTCCTTTAGCTCTAGCTTCTCTGATCTTAAGTGATTCCTGCTACTTGAAGCCATACAAGAGTTTTCTGGGGCACAGAATATACAAATTGTGGTTCTCTCTTCCTTATTTTTAATCACTTAAGGCAAAGACTAACTTCAGATACAGTTTTACATTAAGCTTTATAAATATAAAATTGATATGAAAATCATAAATTTCATTGTTAGATAGAAAAGTTATTATTAGTATTATGCCCTTTGGTCCTGGCCTTGCAAATCTAAGTTCCCATTCCTCATGTCAAAGGGCACATAAAGGACAATCACAGTTAATAGCTTGACTCTAAGGTGTTTCCTCATAGTTTCTTCAACTTGACTGCTCATTCTGTTGTGTTCTCTTCTCTTCTCTTTGGCTCTTAAGTGCTTAGGGTTTTTAATTTTGTCCCAAGTGCCAGTTGTTGGCCCTCCTTTTTTGCTTTGTGATCTTTGATTGTGTAAGCTGGATCTTCTGCTATTGGTTCCCAATCCACAATTCTAAATTTCTCATTTTCCCCCTTTTTTAGTGCTTTCATCAAGAAGAGACACTTGGTCTATTATTAATAGTTTTGGTTCTCAAGGACCCACATCATCTTCTGGGCTCACATCGGCCTAACAGTCACAATCAGGTACATACATTTATCCAGCCATCCACCCTTCTGTGTAGTCTACTTGTTTGTTAGGTAGATTTGGGGAGGCATAGTGAAATGTACAAAAGCTGTACTTAGAATCAAAGTACTTGGGAGAAAAAAGATTATTATTCTGGAAAACCTAGACTAGAGAAGACTATAGATTGTGCCCCCCCAAATCATATGTTGAAGTCCTAAACCTGGTACCTCAGAAAGTGACCTTATTTGAAAATAGGGCTGTTGCAGATATAATTAATATGAATTCACCCTGGAGTATGAAAGTGAAAGTGTCATTCGTTCAGTCATGTTCAACTTTTTGCAACCCCATAGACTGTAGACCACCAGGCTCCTCTGTCTCTGGGCTTTTCCAGGCAAGAATACTGGAGTGGGTTGCCATTCCTTTCTCCAGGGCATCTTCCTGAACTAGGGATTGAACCCGGCTCTCCTGCATTGCCGTCAGATTCTTTACCATCTGAGTCACCAGGGGATTGAGTATGACTGCTATCCTTATAAAAAGGGTGAATTTGGACACATACACTCACATAGAAACAATGCCATGTGAATGTGAATGCAGAGATTAGGATGATGCATCTACAAACCAAGGAACCCCTAGCAGCCAGAGGAGAGGCCTGGAAGAGGCTTCCTCTCTGTCCTCAGAAAGAACCAAGCCCTGCCAAGACCTTGATCTCAGGCTTCTAGCCTCCAAAACAGGGACAATAAATTTTTGTTTTTTAAGCCATAAGTTTGTCAGTTTGTTATAGCAACCCTAGCAAACTAATACGTGATTTTAAACATAAAAGTTGTTTTTCTACTTAGATAACCTTTCTTTTTTGAAAATCATATTTTGAATGTGATTGACTGTGTCATGTAAATGACGTAGACTTTTTAACATTTTCTTAACCATCCAAGTTGAATGTTGAATACTGTTTTTTTACATTTAAAAATATCAACCAACATGGCATGTGTGGGGTATGGAATGGCCCTCTTGGTTCATAAGCTGCACCTGCTTTATACACAAAGTGCTTACTGAGCAAATGAAATTCACAAGTTTACCACCTTAAACTTACTTTACTCATCTCCCTTTCTTAGTGGTTTGACCTTGACTTCACTCTGATCTTGATTCCTTTGGCATGGCTCCCAGTTGTGTTTGGCCTTTTGCGAGTTGTCTTCCTTAGAACTTCCTTCCCCTCTTCTCTCCCACCCGCTTCAGTTAATTCAGCAGTGGTTTATTATTGACTACCTCTGCTGCACCTCTGTACCTTTTCTTCAACAGCTACTTCTAAGGGGTCCATGTGAACCAGACGCTGTGCTCAGTTCAGTTCAGTTGCTCAGTTGTGTCCAACTCTTTGTGACCCCATGGACTGCGGCTAGGTCCTGGAAATACAGAAGTCCACGAGACACAAACGATCCTTGGAAGGAAACTTCGATACTATATTGAGGTTTACAAAAGAATCAAAGTATAGCATTTTGTGGCCTAAATTTTTGTGCCATCTCCTTTTTACTGTAAAATGATTACAGTGGTTTTAATGATGCACCAATTCAGTCATGATTATATATCTCCTATATACATACCAAGGAGGTCCTGATACCCTGTGTATGTAAAATTACAGAATCAAGGTTTCCTTCAGGCTAATATTCTTATTATCCCAGCAACCCAAAGGCCCTTCTCTTGTTAAAAAAATTTTATCCAAATAATACATGCACATAATAAGTGAAATCATAGAAGCTTTTTTGTTGAAAAACTGTCCCTTCTCTAATCTATGCCCCAGAGGAAACAACGTTCAGCTCTTAGAAATTTTTTTCCTGCTGCTTCCTCTGTATTTACAAATGATATTTCTGATATTTCTTGATATCCATTTTAGATATGATTTGCTGAGTTCCTGTTGTCATAGTTAAAATTTTGTCCTTTCCAGCACACCCCGTGTCATCACCAACATTCCAAGATGCCATGTCATCAGCTTCCCCTTACTGTTCTAAGGTATGTCTTGGTTAAATAAGCATGTCAGCATTATTATGTTTATGTAAATAATAATCTTTGCTATTCTGAGTTCCTTTCTCAGACAACTTTTGTCTTTACCTATGATTGATAATTGCCATTTTGAAAGATCCTTCTGTTTAGTGTGTAGACTTTGAAGAATCCCCCTGTTTTCAACATGATATCTCCCCAAAGCTTTGCCTGCCCTGATGTCAGTGGCCCTAACCCTGAGCCCCTCAAGGTTCCGCTGAGTGAAGTGACTCATTTGGATGGGGAAGGGGTGCAGATACTAAGATTGTCATTTCCTCTACTTTATTCAGTCAGTAACCAGGCCTGCGTCTACTTAGAAGCATCAATACTTTTTTCTTACACTGTAATTTTAAAAAAGATTTGGAAAAGAAGATAAACTTAACATGCATATTCAGAAGTCCACAATTCCTCTCTTAATGAATCATTCATTTCTCTCTGGTGGACTCAAGACCAAGAGGCAGTCTCTCCAAGTACCCCCACCCCACCCTGCAGTGTAGGCTCATGCATTCTCATTGCAAGCATGTGATATAATACTTTACAATTTTCTTTCTTCAGCTTCTCTCTCTCTCCCTCTCTTCCAACTTCTTCCATTTTACAAGTGATTCTTAGATTCAGGGGCAAATGTAAAATGGTATTGGTATTGGGTGAAGATTCTTACAAGCATGAATTGCATTAACTGTAACAGGAAATTAGAGAGTCAGTAGTCTCCATGCTAATAACTTCCCTCACCTCAGTACATCTATGACAAATGAAATAGTTTCTGAATTGATAAAGCAGAACAGATTATACTAGTGAGAAAAAGAACTTTCAGAGTCCAGAATGCTGAGGGATTAATTTGTTATCTGAGTTCATTCTCACTGATGGCCTGAGTTTACATAGCAATACATTTGCATAATTAAATGAGATGCTACCCTCAGTCCAGGTGCTATAAGAACTGAGAAATGGAATCTAAGTTGGGACTCCGGCAAAATTTAAACTTTCTGGGTAAAAGTGGCAGCAGCCTTCAATAATGATATACCCAGGTTGCTTTATTTTTGTAATTTTATGGATCTTTTGCCATATATATCACATACCAGGAGTTCTATAAGTAAATTAGCTCTCCAACAGCAAAGTAACTTTATGACAGTGCTAGTTAATAATTTCGGTATTAATGGAAAAGAAATACTATCAAGATGACCAGTATTCATGCTCAGAATATTTCAAGACATGTTGGCTCTAGGAGGACAGACAGTGTCTTTCTTGATTATGGAACAGGGCTTGTCAAATAGTGTTCCAAAGATCCCCCAAAGTATTCAACCATTGACACGGCCTGATTTAGTTCAGGCAGGAGCAGTCTCTAATGGCTCTCCTCTGGATCACTCTGATTCCATTCTCTAGGAGAGCAAGATTCTATCATCTAGAAATTGTCCTACCTCATATATATTCAGGCAATGAAAAGATCCATGATATACCTACAAGCAACCTATATCATAAATACATCTTACCTGAGAGGAAAAGCATTTGCTTCATGTTAGGATGTAGCAGTGGATGAGACAGACGTAGGATCTTATACGTCTAAAGGACCATACTATCTCCAATGTCTCGCAGAGTGTGGACACTTGACAAATATCTGCTAGCTGGCAGCATATCTTTTCCATCATGAAACTTACAGTCCACCTGGCAAAGAAACCATATAACAAGAAATTATGATGAACTATGATAAGTATAGAGGAAAGTAGGGAGTCAATACGAGCTCCTGGACAAAGTGATGTTGGAGTGAAGGATGGGTGGGACTCAGCCAGCCTTCAGTGGCTGTACGGGTAATAGCTAATGGCAAGAGGGGACCATTGCAGTCAGGAATGTTCCAGCAGGAGAGGTAGCGTGAGCCAAGGCTTGGAGAAGAGACAGAATTTGGAAAGAAATTGACTATAACTGGACAGTAGAATGAGTGGATGTCTAAAAATAAAGAGGAGGCGGTAAGGGAGAGTTGTAAAATCTGCATTCAAGAGTTTGGACTTGATTCTAAATGCCGTGGGTGACTATTGAAGGGTTTTAAGTCAGGGAGTGACAGAACCTAGCATGTCAGCTGGCATGATTCTTTCACAGGGATTTGGATACTTGAACTTTTGTGGAAAGACTGAAGGGCAAACATCATCTCTTTCCTTGGCCATATTCCAGGGTATATTTTTGAATATTGGCAAATTAAAATTTATAACTCCTACTGAAACTAAAATAACTCCTTGGATCTGATTCTGCCTACCCTTAATTACTTTCCAGAATCCGTGTTAAATTGACACGTGGTATTTATTAAGGTGGAATCCATTTTTCAACGCTTCTGGAAATCAGGGCATATCAAAGAAGTTGCTCAGGCCCAAAGTATTTCTTTCCAGCTGTCCCCACTGGCTTACGGATAACATTTCCTAATCTTGTGGGGTTTGAGAATTTGTTACAAAAACCCATGTTGGACTGGATTTAATTCTCAAATTAGGATATATCATTTTGCTCAGGCAATATCCCAAGTTGATATTTACTCCTTTTCAAGATCACTAGAATTTTTAGAGGCTATCTTGTTCCACCCATTAGAGTTGTAAAATCTGCATTCAAGAGTTTGGACTTGATTCTAAATGCCGTGGGTGACTATTGAAGGGTTTTAAGTCAGGGAGTGACAGAACCTAGCATGTCAGCTGGCATGATTCTTTCACAGGGATTTGGATACTTGAACTTTTGTGGAAAGACTGAAGGGCAAACATCATCTCTTTCCTTGGCCATATTCCAGGGTATATTTTTGAATATTGGCAAATTAAAATTTATAACTCCTACTGAAACTAAAATAACTCCTTGGATCTGATTCTGCCTACCCTTAATTACTTTCCAGAATCTGTGTTAAATTGACACGTGGTATTTATTAAGGTGGAATCCATTTCTCAACGCTCCTGGAAATCAGGGCATATCAAAGAAGTTGCTCAGGCCCAAAGTATTTCTTTCCAGCTGTCCCCACTGGCTTACGGATAACATTTCCTAATCTTGTGGGGTTTGAGAATTTGTTACAAAAACCCATGTTGGACTGGATTTAATTCTCAAATTAGGATATATCATTTTGCTCAGGCAATATCCCAAGTTGATATTTACTCCTTTTCAAGATCACTAGAATTTTTAGAGGCTATCTTGTTCCACCCATCAAGTTGATGAAGGAGGCCCCTGAAGTCGTCTCTGGTAAAATGGAACTCGGTGATTATCGTGAGAGCCCTTGTTGTAATGTCTCCCACTGTTTCCCATCAAGTGAGCATTTATTAGTGCCGGAACTTCATTGCCTGCCATTCTCCCGACTGAAAACAAGCCTTGTAGCAGTGCCAGGATGACTGCTACAGCTTTCTTCTTAGAGCAGTGGTTGTGACTGACTGACTTTCTTTGCCTTCTGTCTCCCCTCTGTTTTCCCTGGGCTCCATAATAGAACCCAGTGATGGAAGAAGCACAGAGAAGGCATGGTAATCAGGTGGACCTGGGTTTCAGTCTTGATTTTATTATCACTCAATATAATATCTGTGGCATACTATTTACTTTCTCAACTTCACTGTCCTCACTTGTAAAATGGGGTAACACTATCCAATGCAAGACTGCTGTAAGGATGAAATGAGGTGATGCGAATGAAGTGCCTAGCACAATGCCAGGCACATTTAATCCTCAATAAATGGCAGATGATGCTACATTTATGAGAAAGATGTCAGCCTTTGGCATTCTGTCATTAAAAAACCAAGTCTGGACTTTAAAATTAGCCAGAACGCCAGGCTGGAGGAGCATATGCAAATCACACGCAGATGTGGCCTTCACCCTGGTGAGAGTCTCAAAAGACTGCTGCTTTCTGTCATCGAAAAGAAAATGTCACAGGGATTGAGGAAGCAGTTGTCTGTGTGAGAGACTTGAGGTATTGTGTGTTTTTTGTTTTAAACTGAGGTATAGTTGATGTGATATTTTTTCCTCTTACTGATTCTTGGTGTCCTCATCTATAAAATGAATTGTGTTGTTCAATCGCTAAGTCATGTCCGAGTCTTGGTGACTGACCCCATGGATTGCAGCATGCCAGGCTTCCCTGCCCTTCACTGTCTCCCGGAGTTTGCTCAGATTCATGTTCATTCAGTCATTAAATGACTTCCAAATAGTTTAAATTCCATTTTTCTAAAGTACCAGGGTCATGTTTTAACCACATTACAATTTTACCTTAGGCTAAGGCCATTAAATATCTAGGTAGAGCTAAGAACACAGTTATATAGTCTTGTGTATGTATATGTGGTACCCACACAGCACATAAAAAAAAATCCATAAAATTTGAGAATATTTACTTTTGGTTCTTACGTTGTTCAAAAATTTCACCACAGTGGTTTAAAGTGCTTACTCCTAACTCCACCCATATTTATGATGGCTTCACTTTGCCCCTTTCTTCAATAGTCTTGTAGTCTTTAGGAAATCTGCCATACTTTTTTTTTAAAGTGTATAAGTAATTTAGGAGGATAGTTCAATTTGTGTGTGTGTGTGTGTGTGTGTGTGTGTGTGTGCGCGCGCACTAGAGACAGGCCTTTTGACTTCAGTAGTTGGATGTGATTTTGTGAAGAACATTAAAGACCTTGCCTGTTCCACATATGTCTACTAATCTAACCTGGATTTGTCTTTTAATGCCCCACAGTGTGTGTGTCTTTTAAAATATTATCAAACCCCATGACTTCAACTACCACTTATATGGTAACTCCCCCTAAAATATTTCTAGCTCTTCAGAGAAAGGTCAAGTCCAAAAACATGTATTTCATATAAGATCAGTATATTCAGCAGACTGCTAGTAAGGCAAGGTGATTGATTTCATCTCTTCATTTTTTTCTGAGTGCAGTTTACTTCCTCATTATTATGAGTGTTTATTTCATTGGAAATGGCATCTTCACTTCCACAATCACTCTGTGTTTGGGCAGACAGCTTATAGAAAACCATGATGGTATGCAAAGTAATGGATGTTGGCATTAGTGTTTTTAGCATGAATTAAAAGTCAGGCTAGAATTGTTAGGGAATGAAACAGTAATAAAATAAACAGGATATGTATATAGGAATGTATTTGTAACTAGAAAAGTTGAAAAGTACCTGGTTTATTGTTACTGACTGAGTAATTAATTTTCTAACATTTAATAGTTTAAAAACACCCTTGTATCAGACTCGTGGTTATGCTGTCTATGTATTTTTGAGACTAGGACAAATGTACAAACACGTTTGTCTGTTCTGATCAAATTACCTGTAAAACATTGATTTAAAAACCCCTCAAGTTGGTGCTTAACTAATTTTACTTTTAGTTATTTGCTAATTTTATCTTTAGTTTCTTTTTTTTACTAACTTAGTATTTATTTTTACTAAAGAATACATCAGAATAATTAAACTGGTTTGTGTACAAAAAAGCTCAATTTAACTGTTTATATGTATAGCTTTAATTTTTTGGAAGCTTAACTCTTAACTTCTCTCAAAATTCTATCTCAGTATTCTTCCCAGGTTTACATGTATTTTTCTTGGTACAGTGGATCTTTGCTTCTGTTATTAGTAGCTTCACTGGTCAGAAGTTTATCAGGCAAGTACTAGGAAAGTGGCTGGGAAAAGAAAACTAAAGTTTAGAACAAGAGCCACATGGAAGGGAATGGATATTGTGGAGCTGAGAAGAGAGGCATGAGAAGGTTTGGGAGCAGAATTTGAAAGCAGATGGTAGAGTTGGACTGTCATAGATAAGGATGCTGAATGGTATTTAAGACTTAAAAGGTTGGACCAGCAGAGCCAGAGTGCTAGGGATAGATGAAACTGATGATCAAAAGCAGGAGATTGTTGCTGAGTAAGAAGGGCCAGAGAATAAATGAAAACTTAAGGTCAAGATGAGGTCCCAGTTAGAAAAATTACGAGGAGAGTGGCAGTAGACACATGTCCAAGAGATAAGAGACCTTTGAAACTAAAGCACAGTCTATTTCCTGCTGAAGCAGGAAACAGATGATATCATTTATGGACCAAAAGCATCCCAAGACCTTGAGGGTTAAGATCAATGCCATCCTCAGCTAGCCACCATCCTAATAGATATCAAGAGTAGGAGAGGGGCTAAGGGGTGCAGAGGGTCCTTCTGAGAAGCTCAAGTATTTTAAGGTATGTGTTGATTTTGTAATCATATTTTCCAAAGAAAAATTTGTCGTGGGTGGCTTAACATTATGGTACAGAGTCTGACAAAAGGAAAAAAAATTAATATTAGGACACTTTCAAAATATTCAGGCCAAACAGTTGCTGCAGTTACTCTGGACTATAAAAAAAAGACAGGAAAAGTGATTTTATGGAGCATAAAGAATAACATAAATATATAAACCTCAGTCTCCCACAACAGGGATTAATTCAGTTCATGGCTCCAACAACAACATAAATAAAATGTAGCACATCTTCTATTAGACTAAGACTGAAATGCTTGACTAGGTCACTGTGGTCATAAAAAACAAAGACTTTAAGGCTGTTAATGCTTTATATCTTATTTTAAAGAAAATATATATCATTGATTTTTCAATGAATCATAGAGTACTAAAAAAATGTAAAAAAGGAATATGGTCAATAATACTGTAGTAACTTTGTATGAGGACAGGTGGTGATTAGAATTACTGGGGTGACCATTTCCTAATGCATTTAAATGTTAAAGCATGATGTTATACACCTGAAACCAACTTCAACTATACTTCAACAACAACAAAAGCCCTGTAAGATTCCACAATTGAAGAAAACATAGAAGCGTGATGATAGAGTCATTTTGATCCTTAAAAAGGAAGATTGTGCTTAGTCACTCAGTCGTGTTCCACTCTTTGTGACCCCATGGACCGTAACCTGCCAGGCTCCTCTGTCCATAGGGTAAAGAACACTGGAGTAGGTTGCCGTGCCCTCCTCCAGGGGATCTTCCCAACCCAGGGATCGAACCCAGGTCTCCCACATTGCAGGTGGATTCCTTACCATTTGAGCCACCAGGGGAACCCCAAAAGATAGACTAGTTTGATGCAAAATAATACACCCTAACCCTGCTGGAGAAGCGAAGCAACTCCTGAAGCCCCTTTTGGAAAGGGATATTCTATTCCAAGCCACTTTTAAGTCAGTAAATCAAGATGATTTTCTGTTTGATCTGCAATCGATAATGTGCTAATGATTTTGTAAATATAAATACATGTTGGCAACACTCTGTGCTGCAGGGGAGTTTTACTAGTCGTCTGGGGTCATAGAGCAGTAAGAAATTTTAGAAAGGTGAACATTACTAGAAATGAAATGTAGGTGTGTTCAGTTTTTTTCTTTGTGATCTTAAATATTTCGTGATAACTTCAAAGAATCCTATTTGTGAAAATTTCCATTCAAATTAAGTCAATAATTGTACTTAAAACCCTATCTGTTGACCTGGTCAAGCAGCATATATTTCCCCTCTAAAATGTACTTTAATATGTACATAGATTGTTTTTAAAGAATCTTAAGAAAATGGCTTACAAAGCATAGCATGCCTTTGTATTTAAGAAGGCAGCAGTCTGATGAATTTAGCAAAATTTCTGGGTTTAATAGGAGGCCTGCTTGTAATTGTACAGGTTGCTGAAAAACACTTTGGATTTCATCTTATACCCAAATATGAGAGCAAGCAGATTTGTTCTGGTGGCATTTTTTGAGGGAGCCACCCAAGATGTCTTGTGTTCACCCATGGAACTTACTTACATAGCATGTGAGCAGAGGGATTTTTAATAGCAGTTTCTAATGCAGTGCTTCTTAAGGTGAGATTCAAGGGCCGTGTGTTTTGGAATCACTGTAGACACTAGTTATTAATAAAAGTGTGGATCCCTTTTCTCAGATAATGAGAGAGCAAACCCTGGTGAGAAATTATGGGAATCAGAATTCCTAACAAGCTCCATAAGAGATTCTAGATCAGGGAGCTCCCATTAGTGGTTCTTTTGCTCACTCTTTGGACAAATAGAGAAGTGTGGTATTGCTTACCTTGACTATCAGGATCTGGAGATAAGAAGCAACCTTATCCCATGAGTCCTGGCAACCTGAGCCTGGAACAATTGCAGACAGCTATCGAGGGCCTCCTTCTAGTGTAAGCTGAGATGGTCTCTCTGATGGAGTTTTGCAATTTCAAGTGGAAGATTATTTTGCTGTTGTGCTGTTTTCAGACTTTACAGTTTCCTTCTTTATAGCTTTTCGTATTTGACTGTGAGGAAAAGATTTAATATGCTTTTTAAAAATTTTTTGTGTTTTCTTTCCCATTTGATTCAGGACCTATTTGTAATTTCACTATACATTTGTTCAACTGAGAGATAAGCATACCTAATTTTTAATTTTTTGCTTATGATGATGATTTTTTATGTTTTAGTACCCTCTTTTCTCTCTCTTATTTTCTTTAATATTTTTGAGACCTTTTTTTTTTTTTTTTTAAAAAAGTAAGTGCTCTGATCAGTAACCTTTTTCTCAATGTAATATCTTAAAAAAAAAAAATCTTCCTTCAGGGTAATTGTGTCTATTTCCTTTACATCTGGTTTTCTGGCTACTGATTAGGCAGGGACCCTGGCCTTGTTTCTGCTTCCTTTCAGACTGAAAGATAAGATAATGAGGAGGGACATCACTGTCCCAAATGGGCCCTGGCTCTGGCTTCTGATTTTGCAAATGTTGGATTCTCTCACACTTTCCTTTCTCACACAAGGCCTAACAAAAGCAGAACTTGTGTGGTTGCTGGTGGCCCTGTCCATGAAGGAAAAAGAAACATTTTTCTCTCTTAGTTTTCTCTTTTTCCTCTTCTTTTTACTTTTAAACTATTTTAATATCAATATGCTCAGAAAGAAAATAATTTCATTGTATTTTTCCAGAATTTTTAATGACTTTAAGGAGTTCAGAGAAAAGTAGGAGAAGAGGTTAAAAAGTAGTTCTGGGCCACTGGTTTTCAAAACACTTGGTAACATATACCCATAAAAGTAAGTTAATAATTTTACAATATGAACTCTACTTACTTCTAAGAAAAGCATTTCTTTGGGGGAAATATAGTTTTATACCCTGAACATAATGTTTACATTTCCTCTTATTGGGTTTAGCTAATTACCTTATTAGTGACAAAAGGAGGTAAATATAGGCTTAGTAAATTAAAATTAACTGAGAATTCTCAAACTTCATTCTATCCAATAGTTTTCTCTACTATTTATTTTTTTACAAGTGTAGTTTATAAGTAGATCTGATTTACATCTCCCCCACAAACATGTAATTCCCTCTGAAAGTTCTGGAACATGAGTGCTTAAAGTCTGTTGGGTGATAATATTGCTTTCTGAAAGAAGTAACCTGAAGAGATATGTGATATGATGATAAAATCCATTTTCTAGAAAATAACTTTGAGTTTGCTTCCCTATGACTGAATGATAGGGGAGAATACAAAGTTTGGTAATTTTGGTTTAGATAATCGACTCTTTCTGTTTTTCTGTTTCCTTTTATTAGTACCTCTTCATAATAGTGATAAATTTGCTACTTGCTACTTCAATTGAAGAATAAGTATATTTAATTTTAATTTTTCTGCCTACAGTGTTTGTTGCTTTTAGTTTAGTGCCCCCTCCACACACACACACACACACCCCATTCTGGAATTTGGGTTACATTAAGATTCAGATATTCATTTCTATCATTTTTTTGGGACACCTCCGATCAGCAATGGGCAGGTCAAATATTTTAAAAATGTAGCCAATAAAGTAAAACAAAAACACCTTTTACTCTCCCCCTGCCCCACCCGCCCACTTTGGATTTTTCAATTGAAGAATAAGTATATTTAATTTTAATTTTTCTGCCTACAGTGTTTGTTGCTTTTAGTTTAGTGCCCCCTCCACACACACACACACACACACACCCCATTCTGGAATTTGGGTTGCATTAAGATTCAGATATTCATTTCTGTCATTTTTTTGGGACACCTCCGATCAGCAATGGGCAGGTCAAATATTTTAAAAATGTAGCCAATAAAGTAAAACAAAAACACCTTTTACTCTCCCCCTGCCCCACCCGCCCACTTTGGATTTCCTAATGAATATAACAGACAGTAGGAATTCTTTAGGGGAACTTATGCTAAACGTTATAATATCCTACCACATTTCTCTTCCCCTGTTACTTGGCAGGCATTGCCACACACTCGGCTTTTCTTAGCTTTCTTCACCCTTTTGGCAGGAAATTTCTTTGGTTTATTCTTTTAATCTGAATTTTGCCTGACCTGACCTCAACCCATTTGAATGGAAACATTCTTTAGAGAAGAAAAAAGGCAGTTTAGCTAGAAGCTGGTTGAGGTCTCATTGAAACACGGCTCGTTAAATCTTTCTGGTCAAGAAGAGGCAGGAGTGGTCTTAGCACACACAGAACTACCATATATTGTCATTTTGTTTTTCTCACAAATCAAAATAAAATGCGATTGCCATTGGTAAATAGTTGGTAAGACTTAGTTAGGCAACATATTCTGTAGCATATTTCAGAAGCATTTTCAGAGTAAACTGCATTAACTCATAAAAGTGTACTCTATTTGTTTAAGCAATCTTCTTTTAAATTTTTCATATCAAAAGCCTTCTACAAGTAAGTGACACTAGAGACTCTTAAAATTTCATAGTGTACAATCTTCAGTGGTGGATACTGGATGTTATAGGATACCTGGAATGCTGAATAAATGCAAAGCACAGTGTTTTATGATAAAGTACAGAAGTCACACAATGGAATAGCTATATTACATTTTAACCAACCCAGAATTTATACTTGACATGTGTTCTAAAAACTTAGCTTATGGTTGAACACAATTTTCTTGTTTTAATTATTCCAGAAGTCTGCCTTATTTATATTAAATCCAGTTTTAACCTACTTAGTTGTTACCTCACTAAAGATACATTTGGAATTATATAAGTGCTGATAAATTTCAAATTATGTAATTTAAGGAGAAACTACAACTGAATTGTACTTTAAGCACAAATATGCTCTGTTTGCATTCATGGGCAATTTACAAGAAGCAGGAAATACTATACATTTATCTGCTTGCCTGGGTTTCATCATGTGGTCAATGCAAGGTGAGTAACAGCTGTCACAGATAAACATAATTAGTACTAGAAGATTAGCACCAGGTATCAAAGGGCACATGTACAGCATCATAGTCAGGAAAGTCAGGGAAATTGTAAATTAATGTATTAGCTTGAAGCACATGAAATTGCCATTTTGAATGGCATGAATTGCCCTCATGGATATTGTATTTCAGTGGGAAAACCTGGGAACTAATACATAATACATGATGTCACTACTGAATTGAATGTAGAGATAGGTGTCTTAGGTTCATGTATGCATTTTTCCAGAGGGAGAGTTTGTTGAATTCATGAGGGTGGTTTATGATCACCAAGGGATTAAGGACCAGAAACCTATTACACCCTGCTCATTTGCTAGATGTAAAACCTAAAAGACAGATGCAGAGTGATTTGCTCATCATCACATGGTTTGTTACGGCTGACTTAGGATCAGCACCCAAGCATCCCATGTCACTATCAGTCATTGTTGCCCACTGTAGGGGAGATGATCTGTGATTTTTCATCTCTTTTCTGTATTTATTCTCATTTTCACATTACCTGACACCATTTTGACTCAACAAATTCATGCCAAGAGTTGAGAGCCTGGTCACATAGACCTCAGTGCTAAAACCCTCATGGCACCAGTTGTCACATTTGTAGAGTGATGTCATAACTGACAAATGATTGTGAGGATTAAATGAGATCATGTACACACACACACACACACACACACACACACACACACACACCTTCCTCCCAATTCCTTGGTTATATTGCCTTTTACTTGATAGCACGTCTGCTATTGTTACTATTGTGTATGTGTTAAGTCACTTCAGTCGTGTCTAACTCTTGGCGACCACATGAACTGTAGCTCGCCCATGGGGCTCATCTGTCCATACGATTCTCCAGGCAAGAATACTGGAGTGGGTTGCCATGCCCTTCTCCAGGGAATCTTTCCGACCCAGGGATTGAACACGAGTCTGTTAACATTTCCTGCATTGGCAGGTGGGTTCTTTACCAGCAGGGCCACCTGGGAAGCCCACTGTTACTATTACTCTGTTTAAAATTTTTTTAAGCCTGTTCTTTGATGCTATGTCCCTAGGCTGTAAAACTTCATTCCTTCCGTCTTCACCACACTTTAATTCAAATGGCAGTGATTGGATTTTTCTTTTTACTAAATTCAGTAAAAGGCAGAGGCAGTAGTGACTGACTACTGCTACAGACTGCTCTATAACTTGGCTGCCTGGGTTCAGATCCTGGGTCCACCACTTACTATGTACGTAGCCTTGGGTTAGTTACACAGATTTTTCTGTGCGTTGGTTTCCTCATACATAGAATGATGATAATAAACCTCATAGAGTTTTTGTGAAGATTGGATGAGTTAGTATATATTACGACAATCCTGTGAAGTGGACATCATTAGGTTTGTTTTAAGTAATCAGCTACTTTCACAGATTTGTCTAAAGTCATCTCCTATGCATGGCAGTCCTGGAGAAGGAAATAGCAACCCAGTATACTTGCTTGGGAAATCCCATGGACAGAGGAGCCTGGTGGGCTACAGTTCATGGGGTCGCAAGAGTTGGACACGACTGAGTGATTAAACCACCACCACCATGCAGGGCAGAGTCATTGAACTCAGTGTCAGTACTTCCTCAGTGTGTCTTAAAGCCTTTAAAATAGGTAGATGGGAGAGGGCCTCATGCGCCCTCTATCCCCAAGATGGTCTTTACAAGTCTTTGTCCTCCTCGAGAGCAGTAAGAGAGCTGCCCAAGGGCCCTCTCAGCAGCGGCATTCTGCCAACCCTCTGTTGACTGGACAAATAACTCTGAGGGCCTAAGTATGGACATCTAGTGGTCTCCTTGTCATCCAGTTTGAGACTGCCTCAAACACCAGGGTTCCATCAGGCTATAAAGTCCTTGAGAGCATTTTATGTGTCTTCACTACCTTTAGCAGGATTGTACAAAATGCTGGGCACGCATTAGATTCTTAAGAAATTTTATGCCTGTTTCAAATAATTTTTCTCATTCTTTCTTCCTTGTGTTTTTATGTAGTGGCAGAGTTTTGTATGATGAATGTGCTGTTTTTTTATTAAAAAAATTAAATTATTTTTCCTGTAAAAAGCAACATGTGGATTGATTGGTTGGTGACTTGCCATATCTAACCCTTTGAAATCCATCCTTTGTCTTTGGCAAGCCAGGGGGAATGTGGCTGTTCCTGCCCAAGGGGATCCTGATTCATCTTCTCTGGTGGCAGCAGGGCTCGGCCCCTTCCTTCCTGCAGGATAAATGAGAGGCTTGGAAGGGTGGCTGCATCCGAAGGCCCTGGGGGCCAGCTCTTTTTCCCACAGTCCCTTCCTCTGCCTCTGACTCACTGACGCTGGCTCTGTTCTCTGGTCTCCTCTTTCCTCTCCAAGCTTCGTGTGCCAGAGTTGTTTTCCAGAAAACAGGCCATGTAAATTCTGTGACCCACGCTTTATTGATATGGAAGACAGATGAGTGAAAAGGAAACCAGAACTTTTCCAGCATTCTATAATCAAAACATTTTTAATAGAAACCTGGTTCTTTTATAATGAAACATAGCCAGTAAGAAGGGGATTCCCTGCTGGCTCAGATGGTAAAGAATCTGCCTGCAGTGTAGGAGACCTGGGTTCAGTCCCTGGGTTGGGAAGATCCCCTGGAGAAGGAAATGGCAATCCACTCCAGTGTTCTTGCCTGGAGAATCTCATGTACAGAGGAGCCTGGTGGGCTACAGTCCATGGGGTCACAAAGAGTTGGACAGGACTGAGCAACTAATGCTTTCACTTTTCACTTTCAGCCAGTGAGGTAGGGGCCAAATTCCTAGTGTGATGTTTATCTTCTTACTCCAGTACATTCAGAAGCTATCTCTACCTCAGGATTATTTTTGTTTGTTCTAAGAATTATCTCGTGTGTGTGTGTGTGTGTGTGTGTGTGTGTGTGTGTGTGTGAACAAGAAACATATTTTCTTTTCTATTGTTACAACTAGAAAAAGGTTTGAAATTTCTGCCTATTTCATTTTCACAAAGTTAAACCTAAAGTAAAAGGTACATTTTATAAATAGGGTTAATTGATTCTGCTGATCATGCAGAGCGAAACTTCGGTAGCATTTTGCACAAGATAAAGATGATTGATTTGGGAAAGATGGAAAAGAGTGGATGAGGAACTTTTAACCTCTGTCCAGGATCAGGATACCCTTATGTATGAAACTCTGAGATGGTGCACTGGGGGGTGTATCACAGGGTGAGAAACAGCACAAGTGAGTAGGCAGCAAAAAGGTTTATGGCAAAGAAATCTCAAAGGACCTCAAAGTATATACTCAGACATAACCTTGAATGTAAGTTTTTTGTATAGTTGAAGAAAATAGATATGTATATTTTCGATTCCATAGCTTCTTTTTGTATTTCAAAGAAGAAACCCTTTCATATCATTCTTAGGACTGTTCATCTGAAATGTCCATTGCTGTGTCCCTACATGGCAGAGCAGTAAGTTGGATATCTTCAATCTGTAGGCAAGTTGGATTTGGGGAGCATATTCTCCAGTGGTAAATAGGAAATTTGAAAATTATTTTGTGTCTCCTGTTTTATTTTTAAATATCATACATACTTAAAAAAATCTTACAATAGATGTTCTAGGAAGATGTATCAGCCTTGCAGTTTGGCTTGAAATACCCAGCCCCCTTTTTGGTCAGTGTGTACCTATAGGCTTTCTGTTTGTTTCTCCTTAAGAAAGAGGCTTAGATGATGGAGGGCTTTTTTTTTTTTTTTTAAAGGATAAATAGGGTGAAAAGAACTATAAGAACTTATTTGTGGTTCCTAGATTCATCCTGGGTCAAAGTTGTGCAGTCCCAAGTCATTTGACATGGACTTTTTTGAAGAAGAAATATGTTTTAGTCTCTCACGCTTCCCTAATAGCTCAGTTGGTAAAGAATCTGCCTGCAATGCAGGAGATCCCGGTTCGATTCCTGGATCTGGAAGATCCACTGGAGAAGGGATAGGCTACCCACTCTAGTATTCTTGGGCTTCCCTTGTGACTTAACTGGTAAAGAATCTGCCTGGTTCAATCCCTGGGTTGGGAAGATCCCCTGGAGAAGGGAAAGGCTACCTACCTACTCCAATACTCTGGCCTGGAGAACTCCACCGACTGTAGAGTCTATGGGGTCACAAAGAGTCGGACACGACTGAACAACCTTCACTTTCACTTTCACTCTCTGTTTAGCAGGGACCAAATGCATTATAAATTTTTTATGGAGATTTTATGAACTGAATATCTAACTTCAAGTATTTAATAAATAATTTGCATAATTTTGTGTAACATCTGACAAATAATTAGAACTAACAAAAATAGTCAATATGCTTGAATTATCTTCTGAGTTAAGCTGAATTATCATAAGCTGAACTGCTGTCTCATATAATGAAATGAAATGAAGGGACCAGTATTGCCATGAGAGGAGACTCTTAAGATCAGGGAAAGAGAAACCAGAAAGGATCTGGTCACGTTAGGATCTTTATCATGTTAAGGTGGCATAGAGAAGGTCTGGGAAGAAGTAAAAGGCACATCCTGGAGAAAACCCCTGCTGATTTACAGGCCCATGTTTGATTTAAAGATATATATTAAAACTATAATGCTTACCAGAAAAGTCATGGAGTTATCCATTTGAGAGCTAGGCTGGACTTCTAGCAACCATGATGTTCCATCCGTATATACATCATCTCCATTTTACAGTTGGACAAGCGAGATGAAGACAGTTCCCCAGGTTCATGTGGTTGACAAGTGGTAAAACTGAGATCATCACCCAGGTTTCCTGTGGTGGGTACAGAATTCTTTCAGCTTGAACTCTTTTGCTTTCCTGTAAGTCAGGTTGTATGGTCAGTGTCTTCTGGGTGGTGACTGAAGCATCTTGTTTTTAAAAACACATTTGTGGAGATGTGGGTGAACCTAGAGTCTGTCATATAGAGTGAAGTTAAGTCAGAAAGAGAAAAGCAAATATCATATATCAGCAAATATATATGTGGAATCGAGAAAATGGTACAGATGAAATTATTTCTAGGGCAGGAGCAGAGATGCAGATGTACAGAACGGACATGTAGACATGGAGAATGAAGAGGATGGTGGGATGAATTGGGAGATTAGGATTGACATATGTACGTTGCCATGTGTGGAACAGTGGAAAGCTGCTATAGAGCACGGGAAGCTCAGCCTGGTGCTCTGTGGTGACCCCGGGGGTGGGGTGAGGGGAAGGAAGTTCAAGCTGGAGGGGATACACATACATATATATTTGGCTGATTCACTTCATTGCACAACAGAGACTAAGGCAACATTGTAAACCAACTATACCCCAATTTTTTTTTTTTTAAGTAATGTAAGCATTTTGGATGGTGGAGATATCGTGGTTACAACCAACATACTTACGAACACTTTTTAAAACTATCTTAGGCGTCTATGTGCAGAGGCCAGTAGCTTCAGCGAATGAATCATTCAAGTCCTAATTTGGTGAAAATACTGCAGTCCTATGGAGCATTTTTTATATGAAATCCCCTGAAGCAGTCTAATTTTAAACAGCTGGGACTCATTTGTTGCTGCAGTCTATTCTACTTTTTGAAAAGACCGATATATATATATATTTTTTCCCCCCACACAGAATTTTTGAACTTTCCAGAAAGCCTGAACACATTGCCCTATTTGAACTAATAAACTAGCAGCTGCCTGCGGACCCTGCTGGACAACTGGGGCCTTTTGTTCTCCCTCTGTGTCCAGCTATGAGAGTGATGCTGTGATAAGCCCCAGTTCAAGGTTGAGGGACTGACTGCCTTCCAGAATCCCATTGTTTATGCCCTTCCTTGTATTTAATGTTCTGTTTCCGGAACTACTGATGCTGAATCTGATCAAGAACCCAGGTGTGCCACCTCTTGCAGATCCACGTTGTCTTGAAGGTTCAGGAATCCACAGTCTAGTTGGAAAAGAGTAGTAAAGGGGGAAGGAAGGAAATGTTAGTTGCCTTGACTCAAAAATATGGCGAGAGAACTTTGTAACATGCAAAGGTTAAAAGATTGCAGCCGCTTCTTTGATAGTTCTATTGTGGTTTATTTTACACAATGCTGTTTGCTGTATGAAGAAGATGCCTATCTATTAGGGGTGATAAGCAGAACAAGGCCCACCCTGACTCCCTACCTTGCTCTTATCAAACTGTATCTGATGAATGAATCAACAGGAAGTTTTGCTAGAAGAAGTTGGTGGCTGGGGTTTATATAGCAAACAGTGAGCAGTTTAGAAGTATCGTAAGACCAAGCATCAGCCTTACCCCCCTGCAGTATGTTGGGGTCCAGGTCAAAAATTAGGCAAGTGTATGTCAAAAGCAAACCACTGGTTCTGGGGTTTTCTTTTGTTTTGTTCTCTGGGAAGTGTCCCTTGTCTGGTACGATACATGGTGTTCCAGCTCAAACTGTCCAGGTGCGCAGCTAAACCATTCTACAGGGAGAGGAAATGATGGAATACAACGTAGCTACAGTTTAATGCAAGCAGGGTGTCACTAATAAACTTCAAGGCTCAAAGTATAAATGAATCCTTTTCAGGTGTTCTCTGCTGGTCTATTTTATTTCAGAACCCCGACTTTTGGGGCTTCGGTTTATCTGGATAGATCCACCAGTCCTGACTCATTCATTCCTCAGTTTAGCAAATCTTCATTGAGTCCTGTGTACGGTGCTGGGCACTCAGGACCCTGAGAATCTGGTAATCAAAACTCCTGATGATATGGATATTGTAGGAAAGCTATTGCTTTTAACCTTAATCTGCTTTCTAAAGTGGTCTTTCTCTACCAGTTCCATAAGGGAATTAAGCTGTACAGAAAATGATTTGAAAAAAAAAAAAAAGAAAATGATTTGAGTGACATTTTCTCAATTTTCCTAAGGATGAAAGTAGTTGGTACCGTTCCAGATGCACTGGACATGAGTTAATTCATCACCTGCTATGCATACTTTAAACATTAGAGCTAAATGGACTCTGATTGATGAGGGTTTCTTGGGTTTCTCAGAAGGAATAAGTCCTATCTTCTTCAAGCCCCTGCTACAATCTTTGTCAAAACTAGTACTAGGAGACAGTCATAAGGATTAGGAGATTCATAACACCCTCCCTCCTCCATACACAACTGGCCTTGAGGAGAGAAAGAACAAATAAAAATCATTATATTCTTTTAAGAGAAACAACCTCTAGTGTTGAACAAACTGGGTGAATATTTTATGGGTGAAGATGCTGTTCAGAGGTGATTGGTGATCAGATAGTAAGATATATTGAATTTGTCTGGGAAGGGTGTGAAGCAGGAGTCTCTGGGGACTAAAGAAAGGTGAGGACCAGGCATTTAATGATATCTATTGTGAATGTGCCGTGGACTAGCATCTCTTTAAATGTTTTTGAGAGCTGAAAATAAAGATTGGAATTCCCATTTTACTCATGATTTTAAAGACATTTCTCTTGGCCCGGACCACATGGATTTTGGTTTGAGTAGGGTTACACTCCTGTGAGTTCACATGTACCAGCTCATTGGTTTGATGAGGTGCCTGTGATCCAGTTCTTGGGTATTAGCTTTTATGCTAACTTTTCCCGATCACTTATATTTCAGATTATCTATCCTGGATCTCCTCTTTATCTTTCCATTTACTCCCCTCACATTTTAGGATTCTCCAGAAAAGTAGAACCAGTAGGAGATATATATATATATATTCCTATATAGATACACATACACACATATACACACACACACATATATATATTATACATTCACAAACATGCATATCCACACACATAATATATATATTAATAAATGCATTTTAGTGTATTGTAATTATACATATGTTTATGTATATTTTGTAAGTATAATAAGTACATATATGCATACAAAGCATTTCTACTTGTATACAGATATAGATGTATAGATTTATTGTAAGGGGTTGGTGGTTCACACCATTATGGAGGCTGAGAAGAGCAGACCAGACCCAAGAGAGCCAATGGTACCATTCCAGTCTTAGTCCAAAGGGCTGAGAAGCAGAAGAGCTGATGGTATAATTTCCAGTCCGGGGGCAGGAGAAGACTGAGATCTCAGCTGAAAGACAGTGAAGCAGAGAGTGAATTCTTCCTTACTCCTTTTTGGTTTCATTGAGGTCTAAAAAGGATAGGATGGGGCCCATCCACCTTGGGGAGGGCAACCTCCTTACTCAATCTACCAATTCAGATGCTAACCTCATCCAGAAACACCTTCACAGACACACCTAGAATAATGCTTTGCCGAATATTTGGACACAGTGTGGACAGGTGGACAAATAAAATTAACTGGCACACTAAGCCAGTTCTTTAAATGGCAGTTGCCGGGCTTCCCTGGCGGCTTAATGGTAAAGAATCCGCTTGCCAATGAAAGAGACACAGGTTCAGTCTTTGATCAGGGAAGATCCCGCATGTTGTGGAGCAACTAAGCCCTTGAGCCCCAGTTACTGAGCCTGCACTTTAGAACCTGGGAGCTGCAACTACTGAGCCCACATGTCACAGCTAATGAAGCCCATGAGCCCTCGAGGCCATGCTCTGCAACAGAAGAGGCTGCTGCAATGAGGAACCCGCGCACCACAATGAGAGAGTAACCTCTGCTCTCTGCTATTAGACAAAAGCCCTTGTGGAAGTGAAGACTCAGCACAGCCTTAAGGAAATAGTTTTTTTTTAATGGCTGTTGCCTACACATACTTTTTTCTCTAGCCTTTCCATTCCATTTCCTTCTGATAAACTACCCCTCTGCCCCAAACATACATGTCCATGAGACATTTCGTTCATGCTTCTACCCTGAAGAAGCACTAATTTTTAAAACTTTCTACTTACCCTTTTGTAATATTTGGGTATTCATATTATGCAGGTTTATGATGAGCTCCACTGACTTAAATTAAAGTCTAAAAGTGTTCCAGACTGTGTATCTATTTGTTATACACACCCCACCTTTATTCTGTTCTTTTCTTTCTCACTGCTGCATACTCTATTATCAGCCTCTCTCCTCCTAGTTTAAGGCTTTGATTTACAGTTATTTTTCTTAGGGACAAGAGACTTTCCCACACAGAAGATGCATGTGTCTGTCTGGACTGATATTGGGTAGGATTGCATTGTTTGGTGTTTTCAATCAGCTATATCTTGTCTCTATCAGTGTACTGCTGTGTCTGGGACCCTCAGAATCCTGACTTGTTCCATGAATGAAAGAGAAAATATTTCAGTTCTGTGTTTTACTTTTCTATCTTAAGTGAAAAGGAAGTCATAACCTTAGTTGTTCTTTACATTGATCTCTTGATTTCACCCAGTTCATCTGCCAAAACTTAATGGATCTGTTTGCGAGAGAAAATATGGAAAAAGAAGAAACACTGATCATTTCTAAATATGTTTTCAGATACTTATTAATTGTCTAGTGGGTCCAGGGCCTTGCCATTGAGAACAAAAAACTATTATATAGAGGCATGGAGAGTTGTCGATGAATATCCAGGAGGGCTAAAGTTATTATTCTTTATTTTTTAAAAAAACCACCTTGTTCTTAAGTCTCACAAAGAGAAATAAAACAAGGTCAACAATTTATTGAAAGTTGTCACCATATTATGATTAAAACTCTTGAAGAGTCCTGTTCAACTAAGCATCAAATGTAACATGCTTTCACATATTAGCCATAGAAACTTTATCAGAGGAAATGCTTTAAAAAGATGACTCTAACATCTCATATTTTGATTCCTGTGTTAGATCGTTGTTCAGTCACTCAGTCGTGTCCAACTCTTTGGACCCAGCAGACTGCAGCACACCAGGCTTCCCTTTCCTTCACCATCTCACGGAGCTTGCTCAAACTCATGTCCGTTGAGTTAGTGATGCCATCCCACCATCTCGTCCTTTGTTGTTAGACACGTTTTTGTCCAGAATAAGTGAAAGTAGTACTACTAATGTATGCTCAAGACATTTTGGCATATGTGTATTTTAATTGAACATTGGAATAAACATATTCATTAGGAATTTAAGTACTTTACCTGAAGATTTTTAGATCGATTTGTTTAGGAGTAGATCCTTTAACTTTGTCAGTTTCAATCAAATTTGCATCATTTAAAGGGGGATGATTTAGGCTTGATGAGGGTTATTTGCTCCATCCACAGGTCCTCATCCCTCGCTGCTTCTCTCCTGATAACACCTCATCTCTGATGCATAGGCTCCTCCACTGCCCTCGTTTTGTCAGCTAGGGGTGGTCAGCAGTGTGTTGAACATACATCTCTCTGACCACTGAGAAAATTGTACTACGAGGAACCTCCTATTATATGCATGATCATAAAATTCCAGCTTTTAGATTCAATGTAGATAAATCATAATATGAAAGAGCCTTGTATTGACTTTCCTGGCATCAGAATAACTGTATTTAGTACTTTTCTCATACTAAGCAGATAGATGGCTGTTGAAAGTCAGTTTCCTCTGAATAGAAGTGTAGTGGGGAGTGGAGTCAGAATCAGTAGTGGATAATAGAAACATGAGGTTTACAATAGACCTTAATATATTACTTAAAAACTCAAACCAGCATGAGAATAAAACTAAGACACACAAAATTTGCCCTCTTGTAGAGCAACAGTTGTTAAGGTAGTAAATTGCAAATACTACCCAACTTTGAATCACTCCTTCCTAGTAGAAGAGGCACCTACCCTTGACTTAAAACAATATGACATCTAGTCTCATAGTTCTTAGCTTTATATACCATATACATAGTGAAACAAAGCTGATTATTTTTAAACACTCTTTTGGT